AGGGGGTGGGTGGGTGTGGGTGTGTGTGTGTGTTTTAGAGGGAGAGTTAGCCAGGGAGTGCCAGACTAGCTCATCTCAATCCTGTCCCATCTAATCCCCCCACTCAGTCCCAGCTCACAAACTGCTCTGTGCTGGGGGCCAAATCCCCACATTCTTCAGTCCTTCCCTGGAAATAAAGTGCCTTTCTGTCCCCTCTCGTCTCCCCCCCTACCTCCTTGTTCCCTTCTACACTCCCATCCCCATAGCCTCTTCACTTGCCATGCCAATCACCCAGTCACAGCAGCGCAGTGTCATTAGCTTGTCCCATCGCTGTCATTGTTCTTGGCAGAGAGAGCCCAAAAATGTGCCCCTCTTCTGCACGAACCTTTTGAGATGAGTCGGCCGGGCAGCTTATCGCTGCTGTGGTTCCTCAGGGAGCGTCCCGACACCGTCCAGCTTTGTGTTTGTCCAGAACAAGTGTTCAGCTTTGCTCTCTTTAGAAGAGAGTCCACACACTCCAACATAGAGATTAAGAGGTTTTTTTGTTCAAGGCGGAATCAGAAACTAATAAATAATGGTGTCTTGGTGTAATCTCAATACGTGCCATGCTTTGATTATTTCTGAAGAAACCTCAGCTAATATCGTTTAGGCACTATAGAGCACTCGGTAGCAGAAAGCTGGGATAAAAGATATTGTCTTGCTTTGTGTTAAGGTTAGTAATATCTTAAATTAAAACAATCTCAAATGACTTAAAAAAAGAAAGCAAAAGAGGTTTAAATGTTTAATTAACTTGCGAAAAAACAAGAAATCTAGATATTTCCTAGAGCTGCATTAACTGATCAATTAAGCAATGAATATGAATATTTTTTACTTAAACAATCAATCGTTTGACCTACTTACTTTTTGGACAAAGTGATTATTTTCTGATTATCTTCTTTGTGAAATGTCAGAAAAATAATCTGCATATTAATACATTATTTCAAATCCTGGGGTTGCATTTATTTTACATATAAACCAGTTAAGTTATACATTTTTCTAAGATGAGGAAACAGGAATCTACTTGCAGTTGAAACACTCACCAGAGGAAGAAAACCTCAAGGCATTTATTATTTCTATTTGACAATTTATTTGAAATTTCCTGCTGTTAGCTTATTTTTTCATCATTTCAATCAGCTTCTTGATCTGAAGAATTTGGCCTATAGTGTGTACATCGTCTGCTTGTATGTATTTTCCTACGTCTACAGGTCCAGTGTAGTAGTAAACAGTAGTGCTCAACGCGTCGACTTCAAAATATCGTCGACGACATATTTCCTCTTCGACGCATCGCCACACACACGTGGGTCACCCAAAACAACAACAAGCAGTTCGCAATCGCACTTTAAACACTATGGAGACTGAAACGGCTACCACCTCCTCCTCACAGGATTTCGCACGAAGCCCTGCAAAAAGCCCCCAAACAAAAACATCTCGCCGTAGGTCTTTCAAATTGAATTTATTGAAATCTCCAATATCAACGTAAGAGCTTGTTCGGGGGGTGCTAACACTTAACCATAAACTTTATTGTTTACTTTCTATGTAGATATTACTTTTCTCCATCCGTTGTTTCCATAGCAACAACAACTTCCTGTCAACAGCGCTACCTCTCCTTCAAAATAAAAGCATATTCATAAATAGGAACAGCCCTAGTGTGTTGTGCAGCTTGAGTTCTGTGCACTTCGGTAGTGCTAACTATCTTATAGCTCTCCGTGCGGTTTGTTCGTGCTTGGTTGGTTAGTAGTTAATGTTAGCTACCTAGCTAGCGGCGCCAGCTGTGTGTTAGTTAACGTTTATCAGCATTTAATGTTGGATGGAATGGTAGCTAGTTTACGTCTGCAGAACACCGCTATCTAGCCGCTACTAACCCGGAACGAACAAACTGCACAGAGAGCTAACTCATGTTGTGGTCGTTTACGAGTCAAACATAACATTAGACTAACGTTAGTCAGCTTATAGTATCAATGTATGTCAACTAACGGAGCCAAGCAATGTCCAGGCCAGGGCTGCACGTAAGCTGGTGCGCAGTTGTCCTGAATTTCTGTCCTGTGCACGGCACAGTGTTTGTTTTCGCACTACATTTGTTATCTTTTGTAATTTTGTACAGAAGAGATTTTTTGTTGGACTGTCAGAGTAAACAGGCTGGCCTTTTTATTTTGTATAATTTTATTCTATATTTCTTA